TAATATAGAAAATATTACTCCGGATTTTCGGGGTTATTGATCAGCGAATTAAGGTCCAATTCGCATTCCGGTGACACATTCATGAATATTCATTAAAGGGAGTTACACTTATCAAAAACAAGTGATTGACACATAATATAAGGAATTTTTGGATGATTTGATAAGTGTAACCCCTTAATGAATATTGATGATTGTGATCATTATCATCAACAACAAACATTCAAATTCTTCAACATATTCAATATCAGAAAGACCTGATAGTGGTCTTTCCTAATCAAGGAGAATTAACAAAATAACTTGTCATTCATTATATGATGTTCTACTTGTTAACAGAGCATCTTTATTAGAACTGATAATATTTTGATTTTATAGATATTAGCTGGTCTATTTTATTGATTTCTTTTGATTCCAATATTTATTTTTGCAAAATGCACATTAATATATTTTTTTAAAAATTATAGATTAATAAAATTTTGTACCTATCTATAATGAGTAATTGATAATATAGTTGATATTATACTAATAAAAGTAATAAAAGCAATAAAAGATAAATTAAAAAATGGATTGATTTAATATTAACATAAATATAAATTATCATTGCTTACTTTGTTAAAATCTAAACAATAGATTTACTAGTTACTACTTGACCGTTTTTTTTGAATTTAAAAGATAGAAGGAAAGAAAAATAATTGGTAGAATTAAAATTATCTAACAAGCTACATATTAAAAAGATTATATTAATACATGTAAAACTTGTATAAATTCAAATTTCAAATCTACCAAAGACCAACGAAACATAAATACCAATTTACAATTAATCCAGTAAAATTATTCACACAAGAGAAATGATGACTATTTTTTTTTGAAAATTTTCTATAAAATAGAAAGATGCATACATTCCTGAAAACACAAATAATATTAAGTAATCCATATATATATGGATTGGTCAGTAATTGTTTTTATTTTTTGAAATAAAAAAAAAGGATTAAGAGAATTGAAATCAGCAAATTAAAACAAGTAAAATAAGATGATGATGTTTATAAGCCAATTATTGATTAAAAAAAAATTATTTTTTAAGATAAAAAAAGTTAAAAACCAATGATTAATATATATGTTTTGCACATATTAATCTTTTTTAATGACGATTATGATTTGCACTTTGAGGAGAGTGGGTATGAGAATGACTTTTTGGTGAATAGCTTCTACTATGACTTCTAGAGGAATCGGATTGACTTGAATGTGAACTGTAAGAACTGTAAGAATAAGACCTTCTACGACGAACTGGTGGTGATCTTGATCTAGATCTAGATCTAGAATATCTTCTTGGTGGAGATCTTCCGCGTCCACGATAACTACTAGCCGTAAATCGTCGAAATGGTGGTGGTGAATTGTACCTCGTAATCGCTTTATACCATAGAACGAATGAAGAAGAAGATAACAATAGCAATTAATATATATATATTATATTTTATATATATTTTAAAAATTAATACATACGTCTACGTCTAATTGGAGGTGGTGATGGTTGACGACGTGGAACCAATGTACAAGATAACATATTTCCATCAAGTTGGCCCTACGCAATTAAACGATATATTGTGTTAGTTAATTACATTATTGATTATTTTATTAACAATTAAGAATTAATGATTTACCCCATCCATATAACTTATAGCTCTTTCCGCGTCATTTCTAGTTTCAAAATTGATATAGGCTGTACCTCTATTTGTTTGCCCTTTTAAAAAGTTTTAAAAATTACAATTAATTAATTGGTTGATTTGATTAAACTGCATTTAACTAATATCATCACATACATTTTTCGTCAATCAATACTTCTATTCGATTAATCCTACCAAATGCACCAAATATTTCTTGTAAATGAGCTTCTTTGACATTTTTTGTTAATTTATTAACCATAATTTTTGTAGGAAGTACAGGCGACAAAGAGGAACGTCGTTGTCTACGTGAAGAGGTATAACTATGATGATGTGAAGAGGAGGTTGGCGGTGGCGGTGATCTAGAAGAATTACGACCTCTTGTCGTTGTTGGTGCTGATGGTGTAGTTGGTGCTGCTGGTGCTGGTGATCTGTTTTCTCTACTACTAGTATAAGAGCCACTACGTGAAGAGTATGAAGAGTAAGAGCGTCGACTTCTTGAATGTGATACAGAGCGTGGAGGTCGACTCCTTGATCGACTTCTACTTCTTGATGTTTTTGTCCTATATATATTGATTGATAGATTGTCAGGTTTGCTCTTTTTTTTAAAAAATAAAATAATAATAATAATAAGCATAAAACATACATTTTACACTGTTATTGATGTATTTTAAGTCAAAAAGGATCAAATAATAAGATGTTACCATCTTAAGAAAATCATCACATGTATCGATTTTTTTTTTTGATTAAAAAAAAAATGGAAAGAAAATCATCAAAATCATCAACACAAGAACAAAACAATATTATGTTTGATGATAACAATAATACAAAATCATCATCTACACCATTATCCACCATGCCATCATTATCGTTGACAACAACAACAAAAGAATTCAAAGTAGAGGAAGGTGGCGAGGAAAATAAAGTAGAAGATGCATATAATGAGGAAACAGAAGAAATTAATTGGGATTGTCCATGTCTAGGAGGAATGGCAAATGGTCCTTGTGGTGAACAATTCAAAGTGGCATTTTCTTGTTTTGTTTATTCAAAAGAAGAACCAAAAGGTATTGATTGTCTTGATGCATTCAAAGAGATGAACAATTGTTTCAAACAACATCCTGATATATATCGTGATGGTAATTAATATAATTGATATTTTTTCATGATGTTTCTCTTTTTTTGCGAGTTAGTTAATTAATTACTCGAAATTTTTTTTTTAGAAATTAAAGATGATGATGATAATGATGATGATGATAATAATGATGATGATGATGATGATGATGATTATCAAAAAGATAAAGATAAAGATAAAGATGTCAATGATAAAGAAGATAATGAATGATAAAGTTAATGAATCATGAAAATTTGGAGTTAAAAATTTTATAGATGAAATTATAATCTCTAGCTTCCCAAAAAACTCAGTTTAGAGAAGTTTGGTTTAGTTGGCTTTACTAATTACTAATTTTAACGTAAGAAAGAAATTGTTCCTGTTCCATGTTTGTTTTTATTATTAAAAAAGAAATTCTTTGATTATATTTCTTATATTTATTATTAAAATTTAAAAATTTTATGCAATCTTCCCTCAGTTAGCCGTGACTCATCATCACAACCAATTTTTCCTTCTAATGTAAGGTTTAAAGAAATTATGGGATAAGTACTCCTTAAAACCACCAGTAATTCACTGTACCCAAATCAATGGATGCATCTTTGCTCTTGAGTCATGGATTACAGCTGATTCAACTAAATTAACATTATTTAAATCATACCAGATGGCAATATGGAAAGAGTTTTAAAGATGTAACTTTTTCATCCTTCTTTTAAAAAACTCCTCTCCGCTCAGGAAAGCTCTTAAAGTCAGATTTTACCTAATTCAAAGAAAAATAAACCATATTAAAATGGATATAGACTGCTCGCTAAACATTTAATATATGTCCAGTTGCAGTTAATATTGATATAAAAAATAAAAAAGTCAGTATTTATGTGTTAATTATATAAATCAATCTGAAAATTTGTTGGACTTTGATCTCAAACAGTTTCCTTATAATATTAAGGAAGCAGTAATGATTGACCTATTGAATAATTATAATTCAAATATTGCTGCAAAAAAAATTTAGATTAAAAAAGACAAATTACAGTCAATTGTCATTAGATCAATAGATTGTGGAAGAATAAAAAGTGACTATTCATTCCTCAAAAAGATACTAAGAAAATACCTGGAATAAAATATGATTGTCATCTCGTCATGAATCACCTTGGTGAATCCTACTTGTGCCACTTGAAATTGGATGTGCTAAATTTTCGGTGGTTGAAGAGGATAGAGGTGCTGACATCATTTCTCTTGATCCGGGAGTGAGAACTTTCATGATCGGATATAACCCATGTGGTGAAGTTATAGGAATCTAAATAGAATATATCCACTTAAGCTTACACCATGATAGAAAAGGATTCTATTCATGTTATAAATTCCGTCAATGTATGCTCTGAATCCATAAGACAATTCATAATCTTGTCATCGAAAATTGGCAAAACGGCTACGCGAAAACCACCATGTGGTTTTAATTCCCGAGTTCAAAACACAAGACATGCAAGCCAAAGGAGGTTTTACAAAAATCCAATTTAACAAATGTTGACCTGGGTCACATTTACCAATTGAAAAGTCATTTTCTCCATAAATTCCGCGACTATCCTTAGTGTAAGGTAGTCGGTCCTCTACACTGAGGAGTATACAAACAAAATCTGAGTCCTTCAAAGAAAGATCTTTAGATATGTATACATCTTGCAATTCCGCCATTGATAGAAATGTAAACGAAGCCGTGATATACTTTTAAGGTATATTAGAAAAGTACGACAAGAGTCGCTCGCGACATTGGAACTTACACCCAAGACACTTTACCTACATAGAATTTGTGTTTAGGTATAGGTTTCAATTTAAGTGTAATAAAAGTTCTCCACGCTAATTTATATTAGTATTAGCGTTAATGATTGTGACTCATCCATCAATTTTTAGATTTTCAACTTGAAATTTTAAAAATTTAAATACAATGTTTAGAATAATATATTTTCCAAAGAATTCTTTAAATTCAACAATTTCTAAAAAAAGTTTGCCATTTATTAATACTAATTATAATAAAAAACAATCATCAGTGATTAGAATATGTAATAATAATTATAATGATCAATCAAAAATTTTTTTCAGTGTAAGAAATTATAATCATAATAGAAAACCTATTATTTATAGGTATAATAATAATAGTGATAATGATAATAATAGTCAAAGAAGACAACAATCATCAATTTTTAAACCTATGCTATTTACAATTTTTACTACAGGAGGTATATTTTCTACAGCAATAGTGCAAACAGAACATAAAAGGAATATATTTCGATATAACATGAACCCATTCAAAGATAAATATGGCAATGATAATGCTGGTGGAGATGTAATTATTTTTAGAGAAGGTTGGATCAAAGGAATCATTGGTAGACAACTTCAACGAATTCAAGATTTAGAAATTTATAAAGAGTTACATAAAAATTTTAGATATTTGAAAAATAAATGGTGGAATAATTGGAGTGAAGCAGATAAAACAATAGCAATATTAATTGGTATTAACACACTAGTTTTTTTAATGTGGCAAATTCCAACTTTACGACCATTTATGACACGAAATTTTCTACATAATCCATTATCAGGCCGGTCATACACACTTCTAACATCAACATTTAGTCATTTGGAAATATGGCATCTTGCTTTGAATATGTTTGCACTGTATTCATTTGGTGATTTAACACATCGTATGGTTGGTGGCCGTGAACAATTTTTAGCATTATATTTATCATCAGGATTATTTTCCTCATGTGCTAGTCATGTCATTACTTTGATGACCAAGGCACCATTAGCAATACTACCAACATTAGGGGCTTCAGGTGCTATATTTGCATGTGTAAGTGTATGTGCTATCAAAAAGCCTGATTTATCAGTTGTTTTGATTTTTTTACCTATTTTTCCAATAAAATTGGGGTATGCATTTCCTGCTATGTTGGCTTTTGATGTTTATGGAATTGTTTCAGGAATGACAATTTTTGATCATTATGTAAGTAATATATTATTAACTTTACTAGAAGAAGATAATAATGAAGAATAATAATAATAACAACAATATATTTGTTATTAATTGATTTAGGCACATTTGGCAGGAGCTCTGTTTGGATATTTGTATATAAAATATGGACAAAATCTATTTTGGCGTTTGTTAAAAGAATATGAAAAAGAAAAAGGAAAGAAACGTTAAGCAGCAGCAGTAGAAAATCATTGGGTTGATTCATTATTTTAAATTCAAGATTTTTTTTCAACTAATAACTACAGCTAGAAATCAAAGTATTTTGTTTTCAACATAACTTAATTTTCTTTAATTTCAAATCTTAAAAAGTCAACTTCTATGTCAACAGATTTTTGTTTATGAAAGTTGTACATTTTTGGAACATCAAACTTTTAAAATTAATAAAAAAAAAATATTGATTAAAACTTCATTACATATGTCATAATTAATTAATAAGATCAAAATCACATACCTTCATTTCAGCCAATACTTCACAATTCACATTCCATTCTTTAGCTTTCCTGATAATATGTTCTCTGGTGGAACTTTTATGTAATGAATATACAGAAGTAGTTGAAATCTTTAAATAAATCAGATAATTTATTATTTAAATATAAAATTTTTTGTTTAAGAATAATAATACACTTACAAAAGTTTTTTTTAATTTTTTACCTCAATTGCCTTTTTTAAAAATATCAAATCAATTCCTTTATTATTTTTAGTTCCAAATGGTGGATTCATTATAACTGTATCGATTTTTTTTTTATATTTGTCTAATGGATCCAATTTTAAATCTGTTATTACCAAATCTATTTCAACATCAAATGCTTTGATATTCTTATTAGCAATATTAATTGCTGATTCATCAATATCTAATGCAACATTATGACTAAAAATAAAAAGATAATAATTAATTAATTAATTTGACTTTTCATTATTGAAAAAATATATATATAATTTTTATATTATACCTTGAATCTAAAAGATTTGATCCAATGCTGACAATTAATAATAATATATCAAATATAATTTATGTTTATATGTTTATTTGGAATTATTAATTGATTATTTACCTTAATATTCCACATCCACACCCAAAATCTGCAACAATTTTGCCCTCAATATCATCATAATTTGAATGAGCTGTAAATACCATGCGAGATGCTAGATGTGACGTTGTATTATATTGTTCCAATTTAATCTTTGGTTCTTCTATATAATAAATAAAAATGATGCATCATATACATATACATATTAATATATATATCAATTAATATTATGATTAAATTTACCAAATCCATTAACTTCTTGAAGTGCACTTTCTAAGTCTTTAAGTCGCATAATTTTAAGAAATTCACTTGAAACTTGTAACACTATCATTTTTTTTATTGCGATTTCTACGTGTCACGTGAAAAGGACAGGGGACAGGATGTCCTCTCCCCTGTCCTTTTCACGTGTCCAAAGTGAACACATCTTCCCAACGTAACTAGCAAAAAAAAACACAGAAACTCGATGTTTTTGGAGAGGATGGAGAGAATACCTGACAACTCAAAAGATGTCACTATATATAAATTTCATGTTGAGCATTTTTAATTGGTGTTCAAAGAGTAGTTGTCATAATAAAAGAGTTTACAATTTTGATTTGGGTTACACGTAATTTTGCTCTGAGTGGACATCGCGTCACCAAGAAATTCAGGGTCAAAATTTAGTAATTAATCAACTACTGCCTACATACAAGTATGACAGCATATACTAATGAGCATGGTGGACATTCTTATAATTGGTGTTTTGTATAATATATTTATTTTTTCTTGTTATTAGGTGTGGATAGAAACAGGGTGGTTGTTCTATAATTATTGTTAAATTAATAATATATTTATATCTATTTCATAGATAATAGAAATGAGGTGGTTCCATAATTATTGTTAAATTAATAAATTTGTTAAATTTGTATAATATATATTTATTTCATAAATAATAGTTTGTTCTTGATTATTGTTAAATTAATGGTTTTGTATTATTAAATAAAATTTGCTTCCGATATCTACTTGATAAAACTTATATGTCACGAAGCCTCTTCTCAATATTAAATTTTTGTGTAATATGATCGACAAAAATCATTACCAATTATAAGAATATCCACCATGCTTTATTAACTGTCATTTAAAAATAAACCATCCGCTTAACCTGCTACTAAATGGTAATAGAAAACAAAAAAAGAATTTTCTTCTATATGAGTGACAAATCAAAAGCTCGGTTTTTTATTTCAGAATTCCAAAAACTTCTATGTATGAATGAATAGCTGATACAATTAAAAAAGAGCGAGTGTCACATCGATGTTCCTTATCCAAAGAATCTATTGTTTTTGCTAACCTAATATTAAAGCAAAGTTATTATTGCGGTGTGAACTTTTTGAGCATACACTATCCTTCCAAATTCCACAACATACGGAAGAGCTTTTATTACCATTACCACTACTATATTGATGATTTTCGCAAATGAACTAAAACGAACTATTTTACATGTTAAGCTGTACTATCATCCAAAATACCGACTATTCCTATTCGCAATTCTTGGCCATATTCGAATATTCAAAAGTTTTTGGACAAAATATTTGAATTACATTCGAATTTTCGAGCATTCGTAGTACTTTGGTAAAAAGTCTTGAATCACAAAAATTTCATATAATGAAACGTTTATTTATGATAACGACATTTTTTATAAAGTTAATATTAATTTCACAATCTAAACCAGTGTTAGTGTTGTTATTATTATGCAACGGAATTCGGAATCTGGAATCATGTATCCCATTGTTCCATTTCATTGATGCAAGGTCACACTGGAATTCGAAGAATTCAACCAATGAAATTTAAAACAATATAAATATAGAAACATGTAAATAAAATATATACATAAAAAAGAAAATTCTTGTCTATTATTCTAAATCTTTTTGATCTATTTTGCGATTCTTTTTTTCGCAGTGTTTGGAATCCTTAAATCCTGAGCTTCTGTTTTACCATACTGAATCCTATTGTTGTACATCATTTACATATTGTAAGACAATTTATCCTTATATTTTTATCAGTATAAACAAATTCATGGAATGCATGATTTGATTTCCCACCAAGATTAATTGACATTTTTTCAAAATATTCAAAATAAAAAGTTAGTAACACCGGAATAATCATTGGAACACTGGGAACATGAAAATTCCAGTGTTCCAATGATTATTCCAGTGTTCGCATAATATTAATACCCTTGTTCATGTTCCAGTGTTCAATATTCCAGTTATTTGTCACGTTAACATCACTTGTCACAATGATTCAATAGTAACAAAGGCAATAATTTTCCCTATAATTTAAAAGGTATGACAAAATATTACACGGCGAAATGTATTTTATCGTCAAAGGCACATTAATGAAAAAGGAAAGTTGACGAAAATAGATAAAATTTTCGGTAAACTAAAAAACATTTCAATTATTTATTTAAACTCTTTTATATATATACATATACACACTTTAAAATATTTATACCGTCAAAGACTATTATAACTCCTCATCTAAAAGAAAATTAGAAGAAAACGAAAGGAAGAACCTGACACTATAAACATTGGAAAAACACAAACTACAAGAGAGTGCGATAATGATTATAATTATTAAAGATATTAATTAATTTTTTAACTGATTCAGCTTTAGCAATATAAAAATTTTTGACATAATTAACAAAGTGTCAATTTTTAACCTAATTTTTTAAAAAACGTCATCTAGAAGGGAATTTATCAGGAAATTCATATATTTTTTGTGCCAAAATAATGTGTTAATTTATAGTTGAAAAAAAATTCATTGTTTTTGTACCATTTTTTTGTAACATGTTTGATATAATTATAATTTAATTCTTCTTTATGGTTGACATGACAGCCAAAATTTAACGATTTCTTTGATGGTTCTATAATAAATATGAATCCTATTTAAGGATTCCAATTCCTGCTATAATTTATCACGCGGAATTCTTTATAAATCACAAAATATATTAGTTGATGGTTATTAATAAGTTAATTACGAATAAAAATAACAACTTATACAACTTATACAACTTATATAACTTACAAAACCCGTAACAAATTATTAAAGAAATTTTTTTTGTTGTTTCTGTTGTTGTATCTTAATCCATTGGCTAATGCTAATTCAATTATCGTTCATTTTGTCCTTTTGGTTGAGATTTTATTCTTTTAAATTACTTGTTTTTTATCTGTATACATGTATACAATAATAATGATAATAACACAACAACAAGTGAGAGATTGAGATCAACACAACAAAAATAATTATGTTCTATATACGATATCGCATTTCAACGAATCAGAAAATTGCGTATCCATTTAGAAATTAATTTAAATTATATTATGCGCTAATCATGTTACAACGGATTCACGTGATATACAAGGTTATAATTTCCCAATTTCCCAGATTTTACCACATTACTGAAATTTCCAAATAATGATTTTACACGAATAATTCTCTGGTATTATTCCTTTAGATTATGAAGAACAAGTTGGAGATCAACGCAAATATAAACGATCAAAGAGATGTCCTTGATAATTTAATTGACAGATTAAATTTCAGTTCAGCATTAACAACAGAAGAATATATATCAATTGGTGATGATTAGATTAATGAAATGCCAACCAGAGAGGAAATTCTTGGTTCTTTTGAGCAAATTGAAGAGGAAGATGTTATTGTAAGTAGTACGTACAACTATTTCTAATATGAAACTGTAAAAGCTTTTGAAACTGCTTTTAATTTTCCTGAACAAAATAATATGAATTAAAAGCTTTAAAATCATTGAAAAAGAAAATAGAAACATATAGTATTCAAAATTCAATACAAATAAACATTACCAGTTTTTTCAGGCGCTTGATTTTTGTAAATTTTACGGATTTAGGTTGACCAGTCACTTATTATTATGCTTAGACCCGTTGAAACGAGGTTTGACGGTATAAAAATATAAAGCAAAATTGACATTGAGAGCCAGATTACTTTCGATTTTATTAATAACTTGTTTAAAAATTTTTCTCAAGTAAATATATATTATGATGAAACCATATTTTAAATTTGGTGACGATTGCTATGTAAATTCAAATGTTACAACCTGTATATAGACGGGTTTGATGGAAGAAAGTGTTAGACAAGATGAACGAAGCTTTCAAAGCAAGCTTTGTAAATATACCGATGAAAGTTTATCAATTATTCAATAAGTTATATGGGTGGGTTTGGTGGAAACAAGTGTTAGACAAGATGAATGAAGCTTGCAAAGCAAGTTTTATAAAATATACTGATGAGCGTTTAGCAATTATCCAGCAGTTGTATATAAGTATTTCAAAATTCAAAAAAAAAACGTAAATACTCTTTACCTATTACTATATATCTTATATCTCATTAAACATTTAACCGAATTGGTTCAAAGAAAGTCTGAATTTTATTGTAAATCATATTCAAAAATTATTTATAGTTAATACTGTAATATGTAGTGATATTAATTTATTAATGATTTTAAATCACAATTCGTTGACGCTTTTTTGATAATAATATTAAATGTCTTTTTACATTCCTCTTCTCCTTTTTTGACAATTGTATATTATTGTTTATATTATTTGGTCATTATAATCATTACTACTTAGGTATATAGGAATAAATGTAAAAGAAAGACCTATTTATTTATTGTGTTTATTTTTAAAATAAATGATTTTACTATAAAGGACATACTTAAATCGAACGAAAACTATGAAAATATTCACAATAATTACAATAATTACATTATTTGGACATTTATTTCTGCAATTAGACGCGCTAAACAAATTTCTACATATGAGAGTATAAATGCAAAATTCGATTTTAAGACTGGATTATTTTCGGTTTTATTAACAACTTGCTTTAAAATTTCTTAAAGAAGATGTTTATAAATAAGTTATATCTCAAATTTGGAAGTGATTGTTACATGACAAGGGCATTAAACAAAGATAAATTCCAGATATACACAAAAGGATAATTATAATAATAATAATAATCTATTCTAAGGGGATAGATAAGGAAGGTTACAATATATCCTTATTATTTTGTCAAATAATAAACAATAGAGGTGTATATATATGTTATTAGTATATCATTTCCATATATATATATATATGCCCATATAATAAATACTTTAAATGCCCACCCAATTCCTGGGAAAGGAAACTATGCCCTATTACTATTTTTTATTTCCTGTTACTATTCCTATTACTATTTAATTTATTTATAAACTGGGGAGGAGGACATATAATTTCACCTTATGCGGACAATATATTTTTAGGATCATCCCTTTACTCCGGAGATAGAAAATTA